AGAAATTGTTTTCAATAATCCATTGGTTAACAAGTCAGCTATTTGTTGTAATGAAGTTACATCTAGGGGTGTAAACTAGTCAAGCCGAGCTTGAGTTATGCCTACCTCGAGCTCGACTCGTCGGCCAAATCGCGAGCTCGAGTTCAAGTTGTGCTCCAACAGTGTACTCGAGCTTGACTCGTGGCAATAAAAGCAGGCTCACAAGCCAACCCGCGAGGTTGCTGCAAAAACACAGGAAGAACGGGCGGTGATCACCGGAAGAGAAGAAGAATGGTTTGTTGTTGCTGCAGCTTTTTCTTGGGAGATGCCTTGAACAAAAGTTTGCTAGCGCAATAAATAAAAGCTACGGCTTTTTCTTCTTTAGGAATATCATTATAGTTTTTTTATATATGTTTTAAATAAAGTTGCAGCATATTGCTCCTTTATATATATTTTAAAAAAAGCTGCAGCATATTCACCTTTATTGACTCATCTGATTTGAAAGTAGTAATTTACTGAAGCTTTTTCTGGGTAAACAGTTAAAAATCCCCCTTTAATCTATTCTTTGATGAAGTGATGGTCTAGATTCACATGCTTCATTCTATCATGATGGATAGGATTGTTAGAGATAGCAATTACGACCTTATTATCACAATATACTTTTATGTGATCATTTCCCATAAGTTTTACCTCATTTAATTCTAATTCAATACTACTTCTAGCCATCGCCTTCTATTTCTTAATTCTATAAGTCACTAGATTTTCCTGTACAAATATACATTATTTGCTTGTTAACCTTCTTTCCTATACTGAACCAGCCCAATCTACTTCAAGTCTATATTGTTAAGCTCAGATTCTAGTGATACTTCAAGTGCATTTGATGGTTTGTGTATATTGGATGATTGATAGGATAGAATACCCCGGCAAACTAGCTATAGGTAGTTGATTAAGAATTCTGTCCCTTTGAGAAAATTATTTGGTGAAAAATATGGATTTAAAAAAAAGTCCTTCGTAGAAGGATAACATTTGTGTATATTCAGCAAGTAACACTTGTATCCTTTTGAGTAGGAGAGTATCTTAGAAAAATACATTCCAAGGTTTAAGGTCATGTTTACTTATAACGGAAGCTCAACCAAATGCCTTTAATGGGATCAAAGAGATAGATCATACATAGGGGTAGAATTTTTGAACAGTGGTTTAAGTTGCGTAAAAATTAAGGAACTGAGTTAGCATTATATTTATTAAATAACAGGCAATAAGAATAACATCTCCCTAGAGATATTTGTTGGATCGGTCCCTCCTGGATTGAGCATGGCTGGGCCGGTCAATTCTGGACCGACCAAAGTATACACCAGGCGGAACAGAGTTCCGCTCGGATGACTCCTGCTGTGATGTCCCAAGATCTAACTTGGAAGAATTATTCAGTCAATCCTTTAAGTCAATTTTCTATCAGAACTATCTATAGTCATCAATCAGTGACAATAGCATAACAAAAATCTATAATTTAAAAACATCAAGTAAAATTTTTTTTTTCTATTCATTCCCAAAAGTTCATTTACGAATACTCAGGATCTACACATTAATCACATGTAATCCATCATGTCTTGAGTACAAAAAAAGAATCACTATAACAAAAGGACAAAAACCTGAATATTCTTGATCAACCTCAATCTCCTGCTCCCTTGCCCTGACATGAAAATATTAACCACATATAATGAGCTTCAAAAAGCCCAGCAGGTCACCAAATACCTACAACTGAAATCAAAGCACGGTACGAAAGCAATATGCATGTCAATCAGTCAAATCAATATTAGTCACTTACACATGATCATTGAGTCAATGCAGAAATAGGAATCAATATAGAAATAGAAACCAATACAGAAATAGTAATCAATACAGAAATATGTTAATCCATAATCATCAGTAGAAGAATCAATAAACAGTATAAAAGTTCATAAAGCTCAATGAATCAATTCGTGCGTCAAATCTCTACAGTACTAGTCGTATCAATAACACCAGTCAATTCAGTAGACAAATCTTCATATCTAAAATCTCAGTTAAATTGTTAAAGAAATCTTCGTATCGGTAATATCAATCAAATCAGTTAATAATATCAATCGTATAAAGAGAATTCATCGGTTCAATAATATCAGTTGGTATAAAATGTCAAATCAATACTATCGTTCGTGATTGTTGAAATCAAATCATTGAAATAAAATCATAACATCGTTTGAGACAGTTGGAACCAATCAATACCGTAGAATCATATCAAGATGTACACTTGCAATTCAGTTATCCAATATCACGTGCTCAGTGAATCACATGCAATCCAATAATCTATATCACGTGTTCAGTGAATCACATGTCACTTACACAGTATATCATATGCATAATGTCAGTACAGTGAATCAGTAGTATCAGTGCCTGTATCAGTATCAGTAACAATCCAGTGACATGAACAGTAATGTTATAACAGTAAAATCATGCATTAACAAACTTCCTCTATTTTTTTATTTGGTTTGGCCCTTCAGCACTTTCTTCAACTTCTCCTCCAAGATGGAAAATTTCAAATCAAACTTATCATGAATGACAGAAACATCTTTTTTTAAATCTAAAACTTGAGTTTGATTATCTGAAATTTCATATTTCATTTGTCCAATCTCCACTTCGAGGCGTTCCTCCAACGCATCCATTTTCTTGGCCGCCATTGATGCCCAGACTTTTGTAGAAATAATAATCTGGACTTCGATCCTCAAAAACAGCAATTTTCTTCTTCGAAATTCCAAGAACTGTCACTGAAATTCACCAAAACAGCCCACAAAAGGTCCAAAAAATAGCTCTGATACCAATTTGATAGGAAACTCTTGTAGATCGCAAGTATTTCCTATCAATCTTCAGAAAGCAACGAAAATTCTCCACAAAAATCCGCACATAATCACAAAAATAGTAGATAATTTGTATTTTTTGATGAAAGGGAAACAGAAAATAGCAAGATACAATTGGTCCTCTATTCGAAAGGAGGATCGATCTCTCCCAAATCTCTAGACGCTGCTATAGCCCAAAGAAAACCTAATCTAAGAGATCTCAAATTTCAGCCAAATTCAAGATGCCGTAACCCTAGGAAAACAAAGTATTTAATGCAAACAAATCAAAAGAAAATTCCTAAACAGTCCCTACATCCAAATTTTTCTCCAAATCCCTCAAAATTCCTTCCTAAAATGCTTCGTTTGCTTCAGCGGCGCAACACATGCAGGAGTGAAAGAGTTCTGCCTCCGTCTCGTGAGTTGGTCCAGTATGGACCGGATAGACCGGTCTAACAGAGTTTTGATGAACGTGTTGACAAATTTCACATTGAAAAAGATCTCCACTACAAAATAGCGACGAGAAAAAAGTTTGCAAATATGAGAAGTTGGGTGAACAAGCCTGTGATGCCTCCTTGAGGATCATTTTTCTTTGCATTTGAATATGCATTGAACTTGTTAAAATGCATGATTGAAGTTCGGAACCCTGAGGAAGTGCAGAACCTAGATGATTCTCTATTTCGAGTCACGTTGTCCTTTCAATTTTATCTTTTATCATATATCTTTTGGCTACAATATTTAGTGTGATTTCTTTGTGTAGAAATCATACCAAAGATTATTTCTTCTCGGGTTCTTAGGTGTTTCTTGACCTCGAATAACCAAGGCATAATCTTCAATCATTAGTTGCGAAGATCCGTCCATCATGGATTGTTTTTGGCTTGCTTCTTTTTTAACTTCTATACACTTCATTTATTTACTATTGTTGGACTGGTCCCTCTTGTATTGGGCATGATTGGGTTGGTCCCTCCTAGATTGGCTAAAGTACACTCCACGAGAAACAAAGTTTCACCCGGATGACTCCCGCGCCCCTTGAGCTGGGGCCCAAGGGGAATTTTCGAATAGGGGCAGGAGAAGCTTAGAGGGAAAACTAATTTGGGAGGGCTTTTTTGCAATTTTGCCATATTAGTGTTTTAAGTAGATTTTTGCCCTAGGGTTAGAGTTATACTTGTTTTTGTTGAAATTAGAATTTCTTAAGTTGTGAGGGCTCTTGCCAGCGGCTAGGGATTTGAGAGCCAGATCTTCCTCTCTAATTGAAGATCCAACTATATCTTGCTATTTTCTTTCATATATCTTGTAATAAAAAGAGTCTTGGTGTATTCTTCTCAATTTCTTATTGTTGTTCGCCGATTTTGGCTGAAATTACATCTATTTCATATCAATATTTTGGTATATTATATATAAATATGATGGCTCTAGCTACTTCTAGGATGTGACAATTCTTTCTTTCAACAATCTCATTTAGTTGCGCAGTTACTAGGCAAGGTTTTGATGAACATTGTTGACAAATTTCACATTGAAAAAAATCTCCACTACAAAATAGTGATGAGAAAAAAGTTTGCATATATTCTACCCCGCAACAATACATTTATTTGTTTATTTATTTTCTTCCTATTATATGTGTCTCGTACACCTATAAAATTATTTTTCTCTCTCCTTACAATGGACTAAAACATGTTGGTAGGATTTGGCACCCTAAATCGTGGTTTTGTTCGAAAGTCTTTGCATGAGTGGCCATATGGCCACTAATTAGTTCTGGGACTGCCTATATGTAGCTTTGGTGAAGCCAGTCAAATTTGGTGTCCTTGGATGGTTTAATCCGAACTGGATGGAGCTCTATTGGTAGACTTCAATAATTCGTCTTGTAGCCTTCATATCACTTAGGCTTCGTTTGGGATGGCTTTCTTACTGCTGCTTAAAGCAAATTTTTAGTTCAAAATTTAAAATTTTTGAGCTAGAAAGTTGCTTTAAGAAGCAGTAAGAAAGCCGTCCCAAACGAAGCCTTAATCTCACTTGTAGCGGCTCTATTTTTGGCTTTCATACGGCACAGCGGGATTTTCCTTGACCATATTTATAGTGCAATATCGTTCTTGCACAAGAACTAAGATCATTTTTCAGATACTGCTCTATTGTCTTACCGAGTTCTGCATAACCTATCTGCAGGTATTCCCTGGTGCATGGACAGCCATACTTGTCTCCCTTGACAATGTGGGCATATGGAATCTGCGGGCTGAGAACCTGGACTCTTGGTATCTGGGACAGGAAGTATATGTGAGCGTGGTGAATCCGGAGATTACGAATAAAACCGAGCTTCCTTTGCCTGATAATGCTATTTTTTGTGGCTCCTTATCAACCTTACAAAAGTAAGCCAAGTCTCATATATATATGTGTGATAGAGAGGAATTTTTATTCTGTGCGGAGTCTGGAGCGTCCAAAGACCAATAAAAATGTGTCACGGTACTTCAAAAATGTACCGCACTCGGTACCGATCGTGGTACATTTTGCCGATCGTGGTACATTTTTGAGAGAACCGTCCGGTATCCGCACAAAATAATAGCTCGATAGAGAGAGTGTGTTTTAAGCTTTGAAGTGGCATTGAATTTATCTTCTTTGCTATCTCGTGGATTGATTTGAATATTTCCCTTGCAGACAACAGTCCAACAAATTCAAATATTCTGAAGCATCAGTCTTATCCTCATCAAGTGTAATTGTACTTGGCCTTCTTATCATGTGGCTATCTTTTGTTTCCCCTTGACATCCCCGGCCGTGGTAAGCGATTATGATTGCAAAGAATTTAAGTACTCATCTGTCGCCTAAATGCTTACCAAGAAGGA